ACACGCGTGTTCTTGATAGCTCAGGCGCTCCCGGGCGTGGTGCACTTCTACCAACAGATTTCGATTAAAACGGTTTTCTTTTCGTTCCTGACTCAGACTTCACGGACGACGAGGTTGACTTTCAACAGCAAATAGACCTTAACACCAATTCAGATTCAGACTATTACGTTCGAATATCTAAGGAGTCGTGTGAGCGCATGGCCAAATGAAATACAAGTCTGGCTCAACCCGTTCGATCCCGGTTGCCGCCAATCCCTCGATGAAAGCGATGCCTTTTTAATATGATACAAAGAGATATAAGTGGCGGTAGATAAGCGCAACAGCTAGGAGATATTTATACAACGGACGTCTCTCAAGTTACAAAGCAGCATGGCGCAGTGGTAGCGCGCGGGGCCCATATAGGGCATTCGTATTAAATAGAACCCCGAGGTCACTTGATCGAAACAAGTTGCTGCTATAAGGTCTAGGGCTCCAGCCATTTTCATTTAAAATAGTTTACAAACTGTTTAAACCATTTATTCTATTGTTTTAGTTCGAGCTGGGCAGCAAACGGTAAACAAATGGTAAACTAAACAGTAAATAGTTTTGAGACCACATGTTTTCTTAGCAGCCAAAAATGCTGCTTCGACAGGCCTAGAAGGTGAAAAATCTATTTGAAAATACGAAGAGATGTCCTGAGAGCTGTTTCGAAGTGCATATGTCCACATATAAACAGACCCTAACCTCAAAGCTCGGCACTCCGGCTTGTGTGACATCACTATCACATCTGCTTCAATTCTGCTGGCTCACACACGGTTTTTGTGTATGAGTTTCATCGGTGTATGAGCTATGGTGCATATTTTTGAATATATAAACCCTGTAGAAGATTTATCGACTACTTGGAATGACTCAATAATGTAATTTCAAAAGATCACGTGATAATATCCTTTAAAACAGTTTATATATAGTTTACAAAGTGTTATTTACCATTTCCGTTTATTTTACCAGGTCTGGCAAACGAAAACTAAATGGTTGGAGCCCTAATAAGGTCGTGCATTAGATACTCTTTTTGTACCTTCAGTATGTCTTGCGACTTGGTAACTTACGGTTTTGTACCGACCCTCCCCGAGTGGGTTGGTATGGTGTTCTAGCCTTAGGCCAGTGCACCTATATATGGGCTACCGATCTCCACCCGACTTCGGACCGGAAAAGCAGGCTTTGAAACCGCTTGCAAGAACAACGTATAGATTCAATCATCACTTCCCCGATAAGCATATGCAACTTTCGTGGTTCTCTCCTTTAGTCTCGTCTGACAACCTTTCCTGAGAGTGAGCCTCTGTGTAGCTCGACTCGCTGTCTGGAGCTTGAATTCTTTGTCCCCGCGCTGCTGTATTCATGATGATGCAATGTTCTTCATTTCTCTATGTTTATGGAAGCCGATATGGATATCCATGGTCACAGGAAGCTGGCGTTTATTGACATCTTCAAGGCCAGCATCTAATTATATCGAAGTGGCGTACGACACTGTCCCTGATCTGCGCCGGTCAGGTGAACGCATCCATGAGCGATCGATATCAGACTCTCACCGTGTCGGTGAAAAGGCATGCCACCTTCGCCATATCTTCCTTGGTGATTTTCCCGTTTGTACCTGTTCCACTAGCCTGGCTTCTTACCAGAATTACAGTCGAAGTTAAGTGGCACAGACAACGGGAAATACAATGATTCGCAAGATTGTTCAGCTACTTTGCTCCCCTTTGTCTTCTACCATTCGTTGTCCTGCTTCTCCCCTCTGTCACCGAGTGGCATTCAAAGTAGAAGGTTCTCTACGCATATATAACCTGATGACCAGTTTCGTGTCAGTACTCTCGTTTGCTTTGCATAATTAGTAAAAATGACCTCTCCCAGCACTCCTCGAAGACGACCTGTGAGTTTTTGTTCTCATTTCGTTCCTCCGCTCCTTTCCAATATGTGCCCCAGCAGCTCGTCCAAATTACACCACTTGTGCGCCCACCCCGCCGGCCTTCGCTTCCACACGAACCTGTCCTAATACGTCTCGATGGCAGTGAACCGGGCTTGCAGCCAGGATTTGAGTTACACGTAAGTTATCATTCGCAGTTTTCTTGGATGCGGCTCACCGTCCATGCATAGCTCGCAACATATGGCACCGAACAAGCTAATGTAAGCACGCCCTCAACATCTGTCGTCGATATTCACTGTAGTCTGAATGCATATGCTAGACTCATCCCCAACAAATAAGCTTTGAGGTCAACACGCATGCGGTACGCACTCACTGTTCCGCTTGCAACTCAATGCGTCTCATTGAGTCCCCTCCTCAGATCCCCGGAGACCCCTACGAAACCCCCTGCTGGATTCACTGTCGGAAATTTCAACATAACAACCATCCCAACCGTAAGTCTCCCCCCTCCCAACACCCCACCCTGACTTCAAGGTGCCCGCAGAACATTACTGGCTACTTCGACTTGTGCGAACGCGACACCAGCGGCTTCGTTCTACACCCGTTTGATCGCCCAATGTGGGAGCTGAAGTGGGTCCGCATTCCTTTCGAGTCTTCCGTTCTTTCTCCTCGCGGGGTGGGCATAAACATGGCGCAGATCCTCCGTGGGAACCATACATGCTTGAGGACCCCGGGAGAGTACATCAGGGATATGGTGGGGGTTCGGTTCATCGATGTCGTTTTTCATGTAAGGTCCTCCCTACTAGAGTGGTCGATAGCTCATCTGACGACTCTAAAAGGCTAATGGTTATCTCCCGCAATACATTCGCACCCCTCTCAAGTGTTGCCATCAGAGTACCGGTGGGCGGTATTTCGATGTTGCGTTCAATGTCGCGCTCGGGTATCAGAAGATTCTGATGGTACGTCTTCTCGCTGGAATTGTGATGTGAGCCTTACTGGTCCCATAGAGAGAAGCGCCGAACATCAGTTCCTCTCGGACGAACGCTGACTTTCCCGTCGTGAGAAATGTGGAACATCTGAATTTGATTTCACTGTATTCGGCGGATTCGTCGGCCCAGATATGGTGGGCAGAAGTCGCTCTGTGTTGTCCGGAATCTTTTGCTGTGTAAGCGACTCAGTTATACCGTGTATTGTCAAGAGGTGGCAGTAGGCGAAACCATCGCTTCGGTACTAGGTTCAGCGTGACGGGGAAAGTTCATACTGCGCCAAGCGGTTGACCAAGAGAAGATCCGAGTATGGGATAACGTACACTGTAGATATACTTTGGTTAGGTGCCCATGAATAGTCGTGTACAAGACTTATGTACTTTGATAACGGGAATACGTTGTAATCCAATGGCAGAAATGATAAGCTATTATTTTGAATACACAAGATAAATGTCTCTGACAAACCTTATCGCAGTCAATAGGAAATATTCATACCTCAACACAAAAATCTGGTCGGATGCACCAACGCCGATATTTAAGTTCTCGTAGGCCTTGAAGGAGCTCAAAGACGTACGGGAGGCTGGGCGTAATACGAAGGTGCGATTTTGGAAGCGTGCATATTGTTTGGGCAAGCAGGACGGCCGTTTAGAATCGTAGAGGGAGATGGACAAAGCCACGACACTGGTTTCGCAAAGCTCACAGCAGCTTGTCGCTGACTGGAAGGAGAATATAGCGCAGGGAGGGGAACGCGAACAGACACAGGGGTTTCAACTAGGTAGATCAAAGCGCGTCGATTCATCATGACACTTTTCCTTTTCTCGGTATTTGGATTCTTGCATTTAGAGGAGGCATCGGGGTTCGTACAGAATAGAGAACAGCGGCAGCAACAGGGTTGTAAGCATCGCTGGTTGGAGGTGGTGGCGGAGAGAAAGAACCGGAGAACCGGCTAATTTGATCCGGACTGAATCCTGTTTTCTTTTTCCCATCATTTCAGTAGCATTGCCGTCGGCGGGACGACTCTGGTTGATTTTGGACAATTGTGGTGTGACACAGCCACATAGATCCACCCGTTCTGACACAACTCCCTCACAACGATGGCATTCTGGTCCTAGGTGCTAGTGGCGGGAGCCATATTAGACCCGTGCCTTTCTCTACTGAGCACCATCGTAAACTCGCCTAAACTGACTATGGGATCTCCCGGCCTTCTGGAATGCTGTCCGGAAGACTTTACGCTCTCGGTAATGCTGGATTTGTCGGTTATGGGTCGCAGCAGAACAGGTAGTCGACGTGGTGATGTACGCTGCAATGCCTGACATTGGATTTGGTGCGTACTGGATATATGTGCTATGTTTACCTCTGACTTAACCCCACATGGGTCTGCGTAGTGGTATCCTCCTTGCCAAGATCGTGACTGCTTCCTGTCATCTCCATGATCTCCTTGCCTGGCGGGTCCCCGATATTCTCCTCGCCAAAGTTCGTAACGTACTTCGCCTTGCCCATAATTGTCTTCATGAATCCCCTCCGACTGCCTATCACATCGCCCTAGTCCGCTTCGTATTTGTCAGTTTGCGGGCCCTGACGATGAGACGAACACGTCAAGCTTTGGATGGCCGCACCGGAACGCTACAGAGATTATCGACCTCTTGCGAATAACATCTGCACACCCATCCGTTCGCTGTTTTCACAGCATTGACCCAGAATTCGGTGGTCCTCAGTGGGGATTGCAGGTGCATCTAGACTTCTTACCACTAACAATGACTTGATTCTGACCTCGTAAGGACACGCAAACGGTTTGAGAAATGAGGCTAACCATCGTAACATAACGGTCAACTGAACAGAGGTCTGGTCAACGTGTCTAACGCGTCTGGCAAACTAGACGCGTTCTCCAACAACACGTACAACACTAAGTCCGTCCTATCTGTGTCTGGATGTCGAAGCGTAGTAGAAAGCACCGTCCCACCATCATGTTCTCTGTGACGAAGTCTTGTATGTGTTTGACTAACCCGATGATTGAAGTTATGACAGTGCTCGCACACTGTAGGTCTTATGGGCTTGAAACGCTTCAGTCACGTCATCTAGTTCAATATATCATTAGTACCCATTGCCACCTCATAATGAGAGCATCTTATCTTTGATAAAACAGTTGAGATCTATTATTTCTAAGTTATCGGGTTTGTTCAGTGTCAGGATGAGCAGGATAACAACTAATACATACTTACTGTATTAACGCTACGTTGCAGCAAGAGCTTCGATACATGACTAGTCAGTAAGCAAACAGAGATACAATACCATGCCCATTGACAGCCACAACAACCAATCCCATGCTAACCATCTCAATCTGCGTCCAGAGAAGTAAACTAAATGAAAGAGTGTCAGCAAAGCCGGCGAAAACACAAAAACAAGGCTTCGACCTACCCATGCACAGCCCAAGCCAGCAGCCGCTCCCGCCAAGTTTTTGCAGAACTTGTTTGTTTAACTGAATCCTAGGATGTTGGAACAAATGGGCACGAGCGAAATTGATATCCGTACTGTCAAACGTTACGGAGGGAGGGAGGGGTGGTTCACACTGATGGACCTAGATTGTAGATACATGCAAGTTGAGCAGAGAGAGAGGTAGCGCATGCGGGCTAAGACTCACCTTCTCTCGCTAATCCACTATCACTATCACTGTTCCTCGCCGTTGAGCTTGACATCGTCACTTCACGTTCAAACAGTGTAGAGGGTCTTCATGTACCGTCGTTGTGGGAGGGAAACTGTACTCGGAACGACGGACCGATGTGGCAGTGTCGTACGTGGGTGGCTTGCATCATTGTCCAAAAATCAACCGGAGTCTTCCCGCCGACGACAGTAGCATGCATCCGGGACCTCATCTACTAAAGGCGCGCTCTGTGGACTGGATACATATACAACTTCTTGAGATTTCCCTGCAAGGAACTTCTTGTCTGGCCCGGAGCTTCTGGAAGCGATGATAGTTCAGCAATGGTCCAGCGTTGACGGGATGTCGCGCACGTATTAACAGACGACGAGGTTGCGAAGATTTGTGTTGGTTCAGGTGAGGTTTCAGAGTTCGATGAGACATAAACGATCATAGTTAATAGGAAACCCAAGGTCGGATAATAATTTTTTTTCCCTTTGCTTTGGGATGCGGTTCGTCGTAAAAAAAAAATGGTACTGTTGGCAGAAGGTATGCATCGTCTCACAGTTGGCAATTGCTGCTCATGAATTATTCTAGATTTTTAATTCCGGAAGCCCTCGATTATATCCAGCTTCATTTCTCTATCACGATTTCCAGCCTGTCCGGTCTGCAATTCCGGGGGTTCCTGACTGCTACCGTTTCCCGAGAGACACCCATCATCGCTGTAATTATACTCTACGGCGAATTATGCCCTCTCGTAGAACTCATGTTGTCTGGTTTTCGCATAAGCTCCATTCCTCAGCTTGTTTTCCGCTTAACTCGGAATATACAAACCATAACAACTACTCTGATTCAGCATTGCCAGCTGATAGCGGCTGTATTCCTGTCGTTGCCAATCGTTTCAAAGTATACGGAGGTGCATAACTCCTGCAGGTCACCTTGCTTACCTCGTTCTGGTCATTGTGAGTTTATCCTTACTAGTACTAGCTCTTCACATCGTTTCTAAAGTCGGATCTATCTATAGGGACTTGGAACCTTGATGAATTTACCCGGGGACCTTCTACAAATGATAGATCGTACCCTTTCAACATTGTATACGGATCTACCTACTACAGCTTACACCTGTTGTCTCTGGACCCGCTCTGTATGCGACTGAATGTCATACAATGGATCGTCTTCTTCATGTGCTTCAGCCTTATGGATCTGAATCTCTCGTCTTTGACTCTCGCGCCTTGTTTATCAGGACAACGTACCGGAGGGTGAGGAGGAGAGGCTGCAAGAATGGACAATATGAAACATGGAGCCCGCAGAATTAGCTGAAGCGGAAACTCGTGACGTTCTTTTCCTTGTTCTCCATTTCTCATGGTCTGACAGACTGACATGGGGAATTGTCTCGTCCCCATAGCTCTAACGATACTCTAGTTCCCTGCCAGCATTTCTCACCTTATCCATCCAGATTTATCAACCACTACCGTTCTCGTCCCAAAGTTGACCCGACCTCGTGTTCGCGGCAGGGGAGTATCGGGTGACATTGGAGCAAGACAGTCCTCTGCTGTACGTCGACTAGCACAATATTCTTCGAGATATGTCAGAGAATATGAACCCGGATTTTTATAGTATGTACTGGACATTTCCTCTCGCAATCCCAACGGAACTTATAGATTCCGCCATCACAAGATCATCGTATTTTTATTATGTGGCATCTAATAGCCCTAATAGCAAGTCCTGTATGCCTCGTCTTTCAGTCTGGTACTGCAGTCGTGTGCTAATAATTATGTTATGCAACAGCAATGCCCAGACAACTCTTTCTTGTTCCCTTACAAATACACGGAAAGATATGGCTTTGGTATGTGACCTTGTCATCCGCGGTTTGAATATAGTCGGCTGATTTTCAGTCCCTAGCTCTATGCGATGAAGCTAAACTATGGCTTTATTCGAGGTTCTTCCATGAACACTGTCAACTACGCGTCGTATCTTTTTGATATTATAATTAGATCCATCTATTGTACGCCCACTTCCGCTCTGTATGCGACTGAACTTCATACGATAGACTTTTTCTTGGGTTGCACACTTATAGATATTAGAATTGAATGTCTAGTCATCACAATACCAAGCTTTGTCCATTCAGGAAGGCGCCAAGGCCGGGGGAGGAGACACAGCGGCGGAAGTCGGGCGGTGAACACCAGTGGTCATGAGGAACTTGGAAAGTTTTCGATATTTTTCTTAGAATCCCGTTGATATCGCAAGTTTGGTGGCCTCGTTCCTAGCAGTGGTAGTACGTTTTTCTCCATTTCTTTTCAAACAGGGTCACTCATGTCGAACTTGACCGGGATTCTCTGAAATGATAAGTTTCCATTCGCTGAACAGTTTTAGTGGAACGTTGAGCAATGGAGAGTTTTAGTGCTATGTCATATGATGAGAGAGTACATCCGGTACTTCTGTTTCTCCGTGGATAATATTCTGGCATCGATCCCGTCTTTCGACTTTATTGCTTTGCATGTCCGTGACGTACGGAAAATGCAATTCGTAAGCTTTGGAAGTCATGTTTGTCTCCGGGGATGTGGAGATACGGGATGATCTTCTGACTTTCTTTCTATGTCATCCATTTTTCACTAAGCAATATACAGATACTAAATGTTTTCTTGGTGCATATATAAAGGCTGTCGCAATCCTTGTAGAGTCGCCAGGACTCACATCCACCTATATCATCATCTCCTTGAAGCTCTTAAACCACATTTCTCGTTAGTCGTATCTCTTTGCGTCAAAGAAAACTCCCCTTAACTAACAGTGCAAACCCTCTAGAACACCATGTCCGTTCTCGTTGCTACCCGAGTTGGCGGTTGGCTGCCCCGCGACAATCGAGTCCTCCAAAGCTGGCTCGCGAAAAAGATCGCTCAAGTTGCTGCAGACCCGCAGCCATTCCAGCCCGTCATCCAAGAATTCCAGAACCTTATTGAAACCGACGCAGAGATTTACATGGACTTCCATCAGATGTTCGACCAAGTGCCGACCAAGCCCCCTTACGATAATGATCCAACCGGACAACCACAAGTTCGTACGCAATTTTCATGGCTGTATTGCAGTTCAACGACTGACATACCGTCCCTCTTTCCCAGGTTCGTGATTACATGACCATGTTGTCTCTGTTCAACCAAATCATTACCGAAGCCCCCGACTTCGAGGAATCGGAATATGAAGTCGGCTTGGTCGGGTTCCCAATCAACGCCATCCTTGACTGGCCTATGGGTACACCCGCCGGCCTCACCGCGTTCGTCAACGACAAGATGAACGTGCAGTTCAAGAAGATGTTTGACGTCTGGACGGCCTTCCTCACGTCGTCAGCTTCGTGCTACGTCCTCACCACCGACACTACCGGCTGGTTCGGCCCTGCCGCCAGTGCTGCGATGCCCAACTTCACTCAGACGTACGTGTGCGACCCCAACGCGCAATATTACGGATTTAAATCCTGGGACGACTTCTTCACCAGGCTCTTCCAGCCTGGCGTGCGCCCCATCATGTTCCCTGACGATGACAGTATCGTCATCAGCGCTTGCGAGTCTACCGTCTATAACACGGCCGTTAACATCAAAGCTCTCGACACGTTTTGGCTTAAGGGGGAGCCGTACTCGCTCAACCATATGCTCAACAACGACCCTCTCGCCCCCCAGTTCGTCGGTGGGACTGTTTACCAAGCCTTCCTCAGTGCCACCAAGTACCATCGCTGGCATAGTCCAGTTAACGGTACGGTCGTGAAGACGGTCATGGTCGCAGGCACGTACTACGCCGAGAGTCCCGCGATGGGATTCCCGGACCCTGACCCCGCCGCCCCCGACCTCTCACAGGGTTTCATCACCGCCGTGGCTGCTCGCTCGCTGATCTTCATCCAAGCTGATAACCCCAGCATTGGGTTGATGTGCTTCATAGCTGTGGGGATGTCAGAGGTGTCGACATGCGAAGTCACTGTTCAGGAAGGCCAGGTTCTCAAGAAAGGCGACGAGATGGGCATGTTCCATTTTGGAGGGTCTACGCACTGTCTCATCTTCCGTCCTGAGACCAGTGTTACGTTCAACCCTGACTATCCTATTGGTACGGATGTCCCGCTCCATGCTCCGATTGCGACCATCGCTTGAGGTTGGTGGTGGTGAATGTTTACGTGATAGTTATATGAATTGTACGAGTAACGAGTTGTTGTTCTATGCTCTTATTCTCTTTTGTACGTTTCGATAATTGAAATAAAGTTGTCTTCATGTCGTACCATGCTTATGCAGAAGCAAGGCGACCGTATACGATAATGTCAATACACCTGAGTTTGATCACGATTCGGGACATAGCTTCATTTCTCTTATACCATAGTACCGCTCTTTTCGTACCCTTTATACGCTGGTGGCGGATACTGCAGTTCCATAAGTTCTATTGTCCCGCCGAAATGACGACTCCTCGCCGCAGCCTCGGATCGTTGCTGTCGTCGGTGTTTGCAGCACGGTATCGAATCTCGGGTTCGAAAAAACAAAACCAATGAAGCGGCAATAAGTATGAACAGCATCGCAACGCCTGACAGGATGCCTATTAACATTGTTGACGGAGAAGCTGTGTTAGTTGTGGCACTAGAAAATGAAGGTAAGCCACTAGCTGCGATGATGATCAATGAAAAGGTTACTTGGTGTCTGTGGCATCCAGCGCCAGAGAGGTAGAGGCGTATAGTATAAGGGATATCCTAGTAAATCATGATAGTCAGCGCAGCCGAAATTGAAAGGGCCATGGAGAGGACACACAGGTAAATTGACATGGCGGTCGAAGTGAGGGGAACCCGGGGAACCCGGTAGGCTGGGCGCAATATACAGGGTGCCGCTTTTTAAGGAACTCTGCAGACCAATAACAATAGGGTAATTTTGAGACTATGGTCAACAAAGGTTGAGAGCACGAACAATCCAGTGGGTGAACATCTCATCGGCGGGCAAGTCCGGACAACAGGTGGCATTTCTGTGACCGGAACTACTGGTCGTCGATCACCGAGGCCTTCGCGGCTATTCCCTTCCAGTTGCTGAAAAGAAGGTGATCATGGAAAATGTCAACGTGAGTGGACGTTTAGTACCAGGGATCTTATGTCCTCTGTGATAGTGATTGAACAGATATTGATTTTTTCTCTGATGGACACTTACTACACAGACGATCAAT